AAATCTGAATTCAAACGACCTGCTGTAGGTCTATTCAACTTCTGATCTGAGGGGCGTGGTTAACCTCAATACAAAAGGAACCAGCAATCTATTGCACTATTCTGCCTTGAATGTCACCATGAACCACGACTGTGAGATGGAGGGGAGTGGTGACTACAACGGCGGTGCAAAAGGAACAGACAAGCCATTGCTCTATTCTACTTTGAATATTACTATGAACACCAATTGTGAGATTGAGACGAGTGGTGACCTTTTTCTTTCATGTGCTATGTCCCTTCAGAATGTAGGCGATCATGGCCCTCCATCTCTTCCTGTCCCTTGTAGCTCTTAAAAGGAGTGATGTCCAAAGCTTTCAACAGATGCACCAACAGAATAAATGATCATTATGATGCTACATAAACATCCGAAAGTAGTTGTTTATGACACAATCTAAAGTACATGGTCTTTGAATATAAATTTCCGTTATATATGTTTTGTAAGTCTTGCCTCTTTAACTTATGAGAAAAGGGACCCCCAGTGCATAAGGAACTTGCAAACCATTACATTAATCTGCCTTGAATTGTTAAATGGAAATTAAATTATGATGATAATGATGAGCATGTGGGAGCTAAATCACGTTTCAACGCTGAAGCTAAGAAGCGTCGAACACAGCTAGTATTTGCCTTCAATACAGTTTTAAAGTAAATCTTTCTCTTCGAGGCGGATTACGGTACCAAGGCTAAAATGACCAGTTTGCCTTACTATTTTATTCCCAGCTGGAAGAAAGGTGGATTCATGCCTTCATTTCAAGGTCATTGTTACGAAATGATCCTAACAGCTTCGGTTGCTATTTGTACCGCTTCGCTAAACGATTTGACACCGTTACAGCTAGCTTTCTCAGCCGAAAAACTTACAGATTTTTTTATAGCTGGCAAATATAACTAATTTAGTTGCGTGATGAGACCTGGCAAAAAGTTTTTCAAAGCCGATTTTTAAGAATCGTTAGTAAATGACAATGCAAATGATACGAAAGTTTAGAGAGGTGGGTTCTCGAAGAAAACAAGATGGCCTGACAACGAATCTCCCAACTGAGGAAGAACAAGAACTACTCGAAAGAACTCATGAGAAAAAATCGGCAAGACCCAGGAAAATGCTTATGAATCAGAGGTGACTTGTTGTCGATTGATCCCTAGTGAAAGCCACTATGCAATGCCATTAGTGATTGAGTCAATGAGAAGATTAAAATAATCCTTACAAGTCAGATTTGTAATAATAATATAAACTAAGACTAAACTAGTCTGACAAATGGCTATGCCCAGTTATAAGAGCATATATAATTTCTTCTTTATGTCCTGTATCCCCTCAGGACATAAGCGATCATGGCTCTCCACAATTTCCTGTCCTTTGTAGCTCTTAATAATTTTTTTCTTTTTGTTATTTCTCCTGAAACTTGTTCCTCGATCCATTTACTCAAGCTCACTCAGTATGTTTTCCCTCGTGCTTTCAATCTCTCTTGTGTGTATCAGGTTTTCCAAGCTCACTTTCCTCAATACGTACCCTCGAAATTCAACACTTCTCACATTGACCGCATTCAGTAATTGTGTACTATCAACATTCACTAAGTCAGTACATGGCTTTTTGTACAATCCACTGCTATGATGGTGATTGTTTCAAATCTCTTTGCTGATCCAAATGTCCCTTGAAAGGAACCTAACGTTTTGATACAGGTTCCATCGAATTGGTTTAGTCTTACGGGGCTTCTTAACCTCGGTCTACTTAATTTCTAGGAATGAGAGTTACCTCGCTTCTTGTGTCGATTTGCATCTTTAAATTTATGCCATTCAACTTAATACTCTTGAACGTATTCCTTTTGTTTTTCTTTTCTATCGCAAAAACATCCGTTTGATATTTATTTCGACCTGCACTATTTCCACATTTTTTACATTGTTGTTTTGCCATTTGCACACGGCTTTAAAATTATTCTTTTTTTTACAATTATCACATATGTTTCCCAATGTGGGACATTTTTCTCTTTTTGGCTCATGTTCATAACTGCAATACTTGAATTTTGTTTTTGTTTTTTTTTCTTAATGGCACATATTTCCATCATTTCTTCTTGTTTTTTTTAATATATTTTTCAATCAAATCATATGCTGTATGAATTCAATACACGCTTCCAAATTCATATTATTGGATTGCAGCCTCTCCAAAGTCTTTGCGTAGTATTATATAATCCTTCCACCAGTTGAAGCTGAATCAATTCCTCCTCTATTATCGTTCCTTTTCGTCCAAGTTCATTAAAGTCACAATACCTACTAGTATCTTTTAGTCTACTGAGATATTCCCTAAAAGATTCTCCAGACTCTTGTCTTAACGCTAGAAATTTGGCTCTTTCCGCAATAACCAATCATTGTTTTGGTTGGATATACTTTAAAATTATGTCCTTAATGTCTTTAAAGTTTAAAGTTTCAATTTCCTCCGGGTACGTCATTAAGGATACTGGCTTAATGGATTTACACCCTACGGTGGCCATAAATAAATCCGCGATTTGTTTTTGCTTATGGTCATCCACTAATTTCTTCATTCTGGCCATTGCCTCAAAGCACTTTAAACAGATATTAACCTCTTCAGGGTTTTCCATATCGAACATAACTTGGTTCGGCGACGCCATTTTGTTGATATACACACAATAGTAGTAGTCGTCACAAGTGACACTCACTCCTGTCTATCTCAAGTTCTTCCTATATAGTGGTATAGTTATGTGCCTATTGACTACGCCTACGACGAGGACCAGTCCATTACGGTTACCTGCTAGATTGTCCTACATGGTTACAGTAGTCCAAAACCACTTTGCTACTCCGAACAAATGTATCCCTTTCCGACACACACACACACACACACACACACACACACACACACACACATATATATATATATATATATATATATATATATATATATATATATATGAATAATGAATATGTATACACCTGGGTTCACCCTCACAGTAATATGCTTGGCTGGTGTCATCCATAAATACAGACTGATGACGACGCCTATTGGCTACGCTTATAGTCTTCGCCTATTGCCTACCACTACGACGAGGACCAGTCCATTACGGTTACCTGCTAGATTGTCGTACCCGGTTACAATAGTCCACAACCACTTTGCTACTTCGAAAAAATATATCCTTTTCTGGGACATATCATTATGCTAATTAGTTTTAGCTTAACCAATCCCAGTACAGGTTCAATGCTATTTTTTGTTTCTAACGAAGGTTTTTCCTGTGTCTTAATATTCTGCTTAGTTTTTGGAAGACATCTTTGAATTGCTATCCCAATGCACCTTTGAATTTCAGTGTCACATTATCCGTTCTCTGCTTAGATATTTACATTTTTGTACTTGTATCTCCGATTTGTAATTTGAATTTTGTCCTCATCCATTTTCTAACAAACATTCATTCTGTCTTCTTGCATTTAATGTTTAATCATTTCTTTTTTTCCTTCACTGCCGTTTATAGGAGCTTTTGTAGTTTTCTTTCCGTTACTGTTACCAACGCTGTGTCATTTCCATATCTTATATTGTTAAAACTGTGGCCGCCAATCCTAGTAGGACTTCTAGATCTTTCAGAATCGCCTCAATGTATAGGTTGAATAAGTCAGTTGAAAAGACCTCATTGTCTTACAGCTCTTTCAATTTTTCTGTAATTTTCGAGCCTTATGCCGCGTGTAGATGTTCCGCCTAAAAGCTGACGCTAACATAAATAAAGGTTTTGCCTTCTCGCATAACCAATTTCTGACTTTGAAAAGAAATGAAGATGACAGATTGAAACGTTTTCAGCGTTGCAAAACAGCGACGAACATGATCGCAGAACTGAATACGAAACTTTCGAAGGAATTCCAGAAATATTTTGGCTGAAATTGGAAAGTTTAAAGTTTCGAATCAAACGTTCCCACAAATAACCAAATCAGCCTAAATCTTCTTCTTGTGCATACTGTGTCCTTTAAGCACGTGGAGGTTCATGCTCCTCCACAATTTCCTGCCAATTATAGCTCTTAGTATATTTTCTCGTTTTGTGGTCTCTTTTAAGCTTTGTCTTGCCAACCATTTGCACAAGGTCGTTAGGTAGGGTTTGTTCTAATTTCGCCTGTGTCTCTTGCCTTCAATATATCATGTGTGTATCAAATTCTCCAATCCCCCTTTCCTCATTACGTGTCCTAGAAATTTCAATTAATTCTTTCTGATTCTAAGTATGCGTACCCTTTTAATTTCTATTTTACCTTTCTCGTTCCAAACATGTTCAAGCTTTGTATTCTTAAAATATTCTTTTTCTCTTATTTCTTTGGATTGTTGTCCTCATCTTTATCGCCATATTCACGACGTTTCGGCCGTTGTTCGCTCCGGCCTGCTTCAACTGAAATCTTTATTTCGTCAACCGGGGCAGATTGTTCTAGTTCCACGTATCACGCCTCAAAAACAATCGCCTGAAAAAAGTCCGAGTACACAACGGTCGAAACGTCGTGAATCTGACAATAAAGATGAGGACAACAGTTCGAACAATGTAAATAATTACAGTGCCTCATCTGAGAAATCTAGACACACATTTTTGTTATTTTAAGTCTCTTATTTATCTGTGAGGTTTTCGAGCAATCACGGACATATCGGCAACTGGATATTACATAACAGTTCAGTACTCCTTGTTTCTAACGAAATTTTCATGTTTCTTAATACTTTGCATATTATTTGGAAGACATATTTCGGTGTCACCTTTTTCATCCTCTGTCAAAACACATTCGGGCTTCTGTTGCTGACAAAGATTCTGTCTTCTTAAAATTGATATTTAGTCATTTATTCTCGTTTACCTTTACTAATATATGAAGGATTTCCTGTTGATTTATTTCATTGTCTGCTATCAAAAGGGCTTCACCTGCATATCTACTTTTTTTTTTTTAACATTGCGGTCGCCAGTAATAAATGATGTTAGGACATCTACTACACACAGTGTGGGCCTCACTTTATAGGTTACATAAGTCCGGTGAGCATTCTAATATCTATCTATCTATCTATCTATCTATCTATCTATCTATCTATCTATCTATCTATTTCCTATTGTTATATATATATATATATATATATATATATATATATATATCTTCAACTCATCTATCTATCTATCTATCTATCTATCTATCTATCTATCTATGTATTCCATCTCATATTGTTCATACATGTCTCTTTTGGATCTATCTATCTATTTCACATTGTTACATATATATATATATATATATATATATATATATATATATATATATATATATATATATATATCTTCTACTTCATCTATCTATCTATCTATGTATTCCATATTGTTCATATGTCCCTTCTGGTTTATCTATCTAGCTAGCTATTCATCTTATTCCTTCATATTCCATATTGTTCATATGTCTCTTCTGGTTTATCTATCTATCTATCTATCTATCTATGTATTCCATATTGTTCATATCTATCTTCTTTATCTATCTATCTATATATCTATCTATCTATCTATCTATCTATATATATATATATATATATATCTTCTACTTCATCTATCTATCTATATATATATATATCTTCTACTTCATCTATCTATCTATCTATGTATTCCATATTGTTCATATGTCTCTTCAGGTTTATCTATCTATCTATCTATCTATCTATCTATCTATCTATCTATCTATCTATCTATGTATTCCATATTGTTCATATGTCTCTTCAGGTTTATCTATCTATCTATCTATCTATGTATTCCATATTGTTCATATGTCTCTTCAGGTTTATCTATCTATCTATGTATTCCATATTGTTCATATGTCTCTTCAGGTTTATCTATCTATCTATCTATCTATCTATGTATTCCATATTGTTCATATGTCTCTTCAGGTTTATCTATCTATCTATCTATCTATCTATGTATTCCATATTGTTCATATGTCTCTTCAGGTTTATCTATCTATCTATCTATCTATGTATTCCATATTGTTCATATGTCTCTTCAGGTTTATCTATCTATCTATATCTTCTACTTCATCTATCTATCTATCTATCTATCTTAGTTCCTTCATTATCTATCTATATTGTTCATATGTCTCTTCTGATCTATCTATCTATCTATCTGTCTATCTATCTATCTCTATCTATCTATCTGTCTGTCTGTTCATGTGTTTTGTTGAAATAACATTTTTCATAAATTCTTCAAATTTTTTTCTTTCCTTCTTGTTATGGGAATGGAAGAGAATTCAATTAGTTCCATTTTCCGACAATTGGCAGACAAGGAATTCTGAAAGAGGCGCTAGTGGATCTGAAAACAATGGCATAGGATGGCAGGACTAATGCTGAAAGAATTTCAATTGACGCTTCAAAGAGATTACCATAAATCAGTTTCTTGGACTTGGCTGGCGCCAGCGGAGGAAGATGGCAAATGTAATATGTTTGTTATGGTCGTCTGGGCGTCTAATGAAGCCTTGAACTGCAACCGAAACGGATCGGGAGGTATTTCTGAAGGCAGGCCGAGATTGGTCCGTTACGTTGATGGGTTTGCCATTTTCATAGTCTTTCTCTCTTTCTCCTCTTTCATTTAGTCAAATCTATAACAGTTTTTCTTCAGTTTTCAACCCATCCTGTCTTTCTCCAGATAATTCTAATTTTTAGTTCGTTATTCACAGGTTTAATGAATATTATTAAGTTCACTTATTTGTTTCTATTTTTGATAAATTTCAATTAGAAAAAAGACGGTGGCGTAATACGAGCTCAACAAATGAAATAGGCGATACGAGTTCGAATTCTTGACAATGCTTCTATTATAATTGCCTCTCCAATGATAGTGGAAAGTCACAAATTCCCTTTCCTTGTATTAATCCTAGCACCAACCATATTGTTCGGGGTCTTATTTCCGACATGTCACACACAGTAGCATGTGAGTACACAACTTGTAAACTGTACTATAATCCTGTGTCCAGTTCTAAGTGAGAAAGCAGATTTTTTTTTTGTTTCATTTATTTAACGCCATATCAATTTCTTATGGGTCATTTAAAGCCGAAATTTAATTTTCTTTTGAGCATCAGAAATTTCCTTTGCAAAAATGTATTGCTGGCAATTTTTTTTTAGAAAAATGCTTTGCTGGTTCTCTCTCTTGTTTTATAAAAATGTACTGTATCTGTCTATATTTCTGAGATGAGGTATTATGTACATTATTTACATTATTCAGAGGGAAATTAACAGGAGATAACTGATAACTGACATCCATTAAACATGGCACGTGTTACTAGAACAGGCTACACCAGTGAGCGAAATAAAGGGTTCAGTTCGACATTCCAACCACCCGAAGAAGGCCGGAGCGTACAACGGCCGAAACGTTGTAATAAAGATGACGACAAAGATGAGGAAAATAATGTAAATAATGTAAAAATGTACTGCTAATAAAATGTCTTTCCTTACAAAATGATATTCCTGGTAATATATATATATATATATATATATATATATATATATATATATATATATATGTTGCAAAAAACTTATTGCTGGTATTTTCATAGTGTTTTGCTCACAGTTTTGGATTTCATTATTTGCCCATATCTGTGTCCGTAAGAGCTGCTACTGGCTTCGGTCATGATGAACCTGTGAATACCAGCGATTAAGAGGTGGTTCCACGCTCTCCAAAGCCTTCCAATCAGAGGTCTTCCTGCCGGATGTATCATTATACCCAAGACGACAGACCGTAGATCCTTCTTCATTATTTTTTATCCTTTACTGCCTGAAGTATGTTATTTAGAAAGGATATGGGCATCGCCAAACGATTTCCTTGTTCACTTGATAATCTCAATGTCTGAAACGAACTGAATCGCTGATTCCTATTATTTTATTATCAAATATCTTCTTCTTATTATTCTTATTCTTATTATTAAACTTTATATTCTCTTCGCATCTTAGATGTTTTAGCCGGATTATAGACAAATCTCAACACAACACTTTCCTTAGGCATCATAGCAGAATGATATTTGGAAATAGTAACGTGTTTCGTCAATCACACAAGGGACAACTTCAGATGAAGCTCGAATATTTCTCTGGTTTGCCCTGACATATCTTACTATCAGGATTCATTCATTGCTGCTCTTCTGTACACATGTGATATCAGGGCGCTTGCTTAGGGTCTGTGACACGGAACACAAACTGTTACAAATCCTAATCAAGAACAAGGATCACTTCGCACGTAAGACATACAGGCAGTTGTCACAGCGTTACACCAAACTATCTCACATATACGGTCTCCCAAATATTCACAAATACGGTATTCTGTTATGGTCGATTATTAGCTGCCAGGGCTCTGTTTGCCACTCTCTGCGTCTGGAGATTTGAGTTAAAGGGAAATAACTGAGACATCCTATACGCATGTAGATCTAGAACAATCTACCGCAGTGAACGAAATAAAGGATTCGGTTCGAAATTCCGATTACCTGAAGAAGGCCGGAAACGTTGTGAATATGGCAATGAGGATAACAGTCCGAATAGTGTAAATAATCATTTCAGAGATATAGACAGATACAAAACAGTTATCTGTATAATACTTTTAGCATTATATAGCATTTTTGATGATAGAATATCTATATAATACTAAAAGTCTGTGATTTCGTGCGTCCTTGTGTGGTGCGTCCGTCTTGTGAATAATGATTCAAGTTAATCTGGTTTAAGTGAATAAGATTTAAAAAATCCAAATTGTTTCTGCATTAAGTATTTTTAATTTAACTTTCTTGAAACGGACAATTTTTTTAATTAAAATAATTTTATGCTAAGGGACATACACAAAGAGATCCCGCTTTGCCGTTTCGTCCAGTTGTTTGTAGAGTAATTATTTATATTTCAGTTTTCTTTAAACAAACAATATTTTAAATATTTAAAAAAAAATGCAAGTGATTATGATTTAAAAATATCTTTTAATATAGTAAAATTATTTTTTAAGTTAATGTGATTTAAAGTTCAAGTTTATCCTGGAAGTTCTGTTCCTATTAAATACTGTAGACAATCAGTAAAACTTTAAACATGAACTTGTGAACCAGATCATTCATTGATGACACGAAGAAATGGAATGTTGAAACCAACTTCATTGTTTTATAACCTGGACCGTCAGTGAACCCAACGGGTCACGGATAGTCTAGTAGTTTTTAAAATGCCCTTTTTCTATTTTCATCTCCAGGTCTTTTTATTTGCTTAGTTTTTTTCAAAAACCCTTTTTGAGAAATCTTTTTTTCACTTGGTACGCTCATGCCAATCAGTGTGCAAATTTTTTGGTCTTTGATAATAATTCCTGGGCGACTTGCTTGTATTTTTCGATCTCTGTTGATAGAAAAATCCCAGAGGATCTCCTCCCACAACTACAGATTCAAGATGATGTTCATACCAGTTGGCAGTTGTTTTTATCCCGTATTGACGAAGATATTCCAATGAAAATACTAACTTACCCTGTCATGACATTTTTTGTAATCCTTCAGCGTGAGTATTCTAAAAATAATGTGATGAATAGTTTCAATGAATTGGTCACAGAACCTACATTTTGGGTCGGCACGATATTAACTTTGTAGCTGCGTGTAAGCAGACTCTGGTGATTTGTAGCAACAATTACCCCTTACGTGCTCTCGGCTCTGCTATATAACAATTATTATTATTATTATTTTTATTTTCTTTGATTTCTGGCGTTTACACATTTCTTTCCGAGTCCCGCCCAGGGACCTAAGGTTAGAGATGGCACTGACAAAAAAAAATTACATAGATAAAGCCCTTCGTAAAGTGTGGGCTGTACTTGCCAGAACAATTTTTGTATCTCCTTGAGGCATAAACTTCCAGGAATCCCTTCAATTAGTCTACTGGAATCTTTCCCAACCAATCCTAGGGCTCCAACTACAACAGGGATTGTTGATGTTCCCATGTGCCACATTTTTGAGATTTCTATTTCAAGGACTTTATATTTTGACAGCTTTTTGAATATCTTCAAAGATACATTGCAGTCTGCAGGGACTGCCATATCCATAAGGCGTCACTTTCTTTGTGTGGTCTTTAATAACAATGTCTGGGCGGTTATCTTTGATTGTTCTGTCAGTGTGTATTGTGTAGTCCCATAGAATTGTAACAGGTCCTATCTCGGTAACCGGGTCTGGGTGGTGTTCATACCAGTTTCTTTCAGTTTCCTTCCTGTAGAAGTTGCAGATTTTCCAGTGCAGATATTGGCCCACTCTGTCATGCCGGGTTTTATATTCAGTGGGTGCCAATATCGTGCAACCTGATACAAGATGATTAATCGTTTCTGGATATTTATCACAGAATCTGCATTTGGGGCTGACACAACATTTTAGTATATGAGCTTAATAATTCCTATTTAGCAAGCACTGGTCCTTTACAGCAAGGATAAAACCTTCAGTTTCAGCTATCAACCCTGCACTACGTAGCCACTGATGGGTACGGGTTTTGTCTACGTCAGCTTGTTTGGTACGGGCAGAGTATTGGCCATGAAGCGGTTTATCTTGCCATTGTTTCTGTATCTGGTCGGTTGCATTTGTCTTTGCTTTCTTTTTTAAGTATTTTGCAGCTTCAGCCGGTGTATTGTACTTTTATGACTGTAATTGTCAGAAGGTTTTAATATTGAGATTCAATGGAACAAATGTTTTGAAACAATCTATTGACATTCAAGGAAGCGGAGATAAAGAATTCACAACTAAAACAAAGATCAATGAACCGTTTAAATAATCCATTCTTTTTTTTTAATTTTTAGACATTCAGTGCTACCTATGAGTCATTGACTAACTATAGTATTCCATAACTCGCTTTTTAATCAGTATTTTAGGGGATAAAAAAATAATCTGTTTAATATAATAGTTAAATGAAAATATCTTTCGGAAGAAAAAGTTTAGCAACAGAACGACAAAACGGCACCAACAAAGCTAATTTCAAGACCAAGTTGAAGCAAGACGATCCCTTAAAAATCAATGGTATCTGAGTGCCTCACATAAAAAGCTTGAACAAATAAAACTGCAATCTAAGAAGCAGGATTAAAGGAACTGATGAAATAAATGGTTCATTTGGTTTGGGAAATAAAATGTCTAAATGAAGATAAATATTTTATTTGTATATCTGTTTATATTTCCGATATGAGGTATTGCAACTATTTAAACTATTTACATTATCCGGAAGAGGCATGGCACGTGGAAGTAGAACAATCTGCCCCGGCGGATGAAATAAAGGGTTTGGTTCAAAAATTCCAATCAATAATAAACCTCTGAAATCAAGTACACGAGAAGGAAAAATTGATAATCAGTGAATATATATATATAATGAAATAATTTAGAATTTGGATCAAGTATATTTGTGAAGATTGTTTTCCAGTTGCTCGTGTTTTTGAGTGCTTGTCCAAGGTTATAGTTTTTAATGAGGTGCTAAAAATACACATCTCATTGGAGAGTCGAGTTCCAATTCCAGTTGGATTCGTTATATTCACTTACGCGCAAATACCCATGAACCCACCTCTTCTCCCCAGTTATTTGTTGTTTAGTAAGTATTATATCAGTAAAGCATTATTATCTCCAAAATATGTGTATAATCGAAAAATATTTTCTGATTTTAAATAACCCGAAAAAGGTTTATACGCCATAAAAAAGCAAATAAATCAATAGATCTTTTTTATGTTCCACAGAAACTCTGTTGGATTGAGGTCTAGCGAGTTGGACGGCAAGATGACGTTGTCTTCTTAATTCTTGTAGCTTTATTGCTTTACTTGAGGTGAAATGTTAAAAAAAAACAATGAAAAACGGCTTGGAAAATCTGATACTGACAGGATATATTAATAGCAAGATATACAGAGGTAAGCAGCATATAACGTTCCTAATGAGCTTGTGTAAAAGTTTGGCAGAACAGGGATTGGGAAAGACAGCGAAAATAGATTTTCTAAAAGCTACGAATAACAGATAACAGAAAATTGTGTAGAACCATGGTCGCCCACGTTTTGAAGAAGTATGACATACAGAAGAAGAAATACGTTTTTTTTTCTACGACAAGGATAATCATTTTTTTTTACTTTCCCCGGAGTCTCTATCTGACAAGTTGGGCGGCTATTCCAAACACTGACTCTAATGATTTTGAACGTTTTCAATATTTAGCAGTATGGAACAAAGCCCCAATTCTACAGAAAAATGCAGGTAATTCTAATCTGCATGAATAGTGTTTTGGGAAATGCAATAGTTTGTCTTTTTTTTTTTTTTTTTTAAATTGCAGCGTGCTCAAAAATAGAGTACGCAATGCATGTCTTTTTTGATCTTTGCATTCATCATCTACCATGTGTCCGGTTTTCGTTCGGCCCGCCCTCAAAGCATAAAAACTAAATTTCTTACTCAAGACTCCGTGACAGTGATTAATGGTTTCTTGTGAATATGAAAACGGCCACTAGTTTTTTCGTTCGGCGTTTCTTCACATCAACGACATTAATTGATTCTTTTCTACAAACTTTGAAATTGCCATGAAATAATCGTACTTAAATGATCATTTACGAAACGCACTAATTTTGGACATTCTTGATTGAATAATTTCCGGATTTCTCTTCTGAGCCGACATGATATTTCAATATAACGAAGTGAATTTTTATATTATGTTTTCTTGACTTTTATTTAGTTCTTTTTTTTCTTTCTTCTTCTTTTTCTCTGTTTATTATTATTATTATTTTTATTATTAATAATAATAATAATAATTTCTTCTCTATTAAATGTTTTCTTGTTAACTTTCTTCTTTTATTCCGGTTTGTTGTACTTTTCTTAGGATTTTGCCATTGTTTTTTCCACTATCTTTTTCTTCTTTTTTCAGTTTTCGCCTTCCTTCTTCTCTAATCCCCCTCCTCCTCCTTCTTTTTCTTCTTCTTCTTCTTTTTCTTCTTCTTCTTCTTCTTCTTCTTCTTTTTTCTTTGTGTCCGTCTTCGTTTTTTCTATTTCTTTTTCCGCCTCTTCTTTGATATTACCTCTTTTTTTTTCTTTTTTTTTTTTTTTACTAATTTCCCTACGACTTCTTCTATGTCTTTTCGGCCTTCTTCTTTTTCTTTTTCTTCTTCGCGACCTCTTCTGCTACTTCTTCCAGGCTTCCACTTCTTCATCTCGTCTGTTTACACCCATTTCTTTCTTTTTTTTGTCTGTATTCGCATTCGTTTTTTTCTTCCCCACTTTCTTTTTCTTCTTCTTCATAATCATCTTCTTCTTCCTTCTGTGTGTCTGTCTTGTTCGTTCTTCTTTCTTTTCTTCTGTTACTTTTTCTTCTCGAATTTTCTTCTCCTCCTCTTCTTTCCTATTTCTTCTTCTTCTTCTTCTTCTTCTTCACTGTTCCATTGTTTTTTTTCTTTTTCTCTTGTTCGTTTTATAATATTCCTCCCTTTTACTTATTTTTCTTTCACTTCTTTTCTCGTCTTATGCTGAAAGCATAATTATTGCCATCGTTCTGAGCGCGATTGGCTCTTCGTTAGATTCTCAGCTAAACTGTTTTGTTTTTTCAATTCCACTAAAGTTTATCGTGTAAACACGGAAAACAAAATGGCTGGCGTTGCACACCAAATTACGTCTCGCTTAGCAGATTATAATTTGCAAGGAATGGGCGTGAATTAATTCCGTGAAGAAATTTTGAAAGCATGACATTATGAATTGCGTAGTTTGGACATTTTAGAACGGTGCTAAAATCGATTGGAGATGAACAAATTGCTAGAGGCATAATTCCTGAAAGGAAATGAATAAAACAACCATAGACTGACTACTGTTTCCATCGGGGTATTAAATTTAAACAGCTGTATCAACGTTCTGTGATGTTAAGCGGTGCCTACGCAGTGCATCTTGTATCCATCGACGTCGTCAGTCCTCACTGAGGCGGACTGGTATTATTTTAAATCTTTTTTCCTGAACAATCATAGTATAAAAGAGATTAACTCACACATTATCTTAGTACTGCCGGCATGAAAACAACGTCCACAATCTTTTAAGATCTCTATTATAATTCTGCTTGTCGCTCCTCCCTTCGTTAGTTGGTGATTTAGTTATTTCGCACGGCCGTTACGCCCTGCCAAAACCTCATACATAATGGACTATTTCTTTTTTAACTGCATGAAAATACGGAACTGGCATATGAGAGGTGCCACTTGGTTTCAGTGAGAAAAGGAAAGAAAGAACCTAAGATAGAAGTGTTTAAAGTTTGTTTCAGTGAAATTGAAAATTGTCCACACTTACTTATTAATAAATTTATCCTTAATTAGTTCGCACGACAATTACGCTTTGCCAAAACCTTATGCATAATGGACTAGTCCGTTTCGACCGCGGGAAAATACGGAAGTAACATATTAGAGAAGCCACTTGGCTTCATTAAGAAAAAGAATGAATGAAAGAAAGAAAAAAAAGAAAGAAAAGAAAGAAAGGAGGGTAGTTAGAAATGTTTTAAGTCTTTTTCAGTGAAATAGAAAAAGTTGCCGAAACCTTTCATTTGTACATCCGTATTTATAAATAAGGTTATCTTAAATTAGTTCGGCCGACCATTACGCCATTACCTCACAAATAATGGACTATTCCGTTTCGATTGGGTGAAAACATGGAACTGACATATCAGAGACGCTACTTGGTTTCAGTGAAAAATTGAAAAAAGAAAGAAAGAAAGGATGGAAGATAGAAATGTTTAACGTTTGTTTCACTGAAATGGACAAAAAATTTTAATTTCAATTTTTTTAATTTATACGCTCTTAGTTATCTATATATTTATTAATAAAAATGTTTGCAAGGCAAGTTTTTGGTCAGTTAATATTAATGTAATAGCACGCCGATTATCTCCCAGTACGCCCATCTGCTAGATTGCCTAGCAGATGGGTCGTTTCTTCAATATCTACAAAACCAGACCATAGTTTAAATGCTGAACGAGCGTTAGATACAGTTTCTTAGACAGAGCATATATTTCAAAAGGTCCAGTTTGATCGAGCACTTAGTTATCATAGCTTTCAGCTAGCACGTTCATTGACGGGTTCCTGAAATCATCAATTTACTAACAGGTATTTTCCCAAAATTGACCGTCTATAAAAAAATCTGCTGCTTGAAAATCGACAATGGTAAGATTCGAAACTAGATTTCATGGTCAAAATTCTAACGTCCTAGTAACTCGGTTCTTTTTGCAAATAACTATCCTGAAAAGAAGTGAAATGAGAGAACTGCTTTTTCTTTGTGAAGATGAAATGAAAAAGCTTGATATGCTGGAAAATTTATTTGGGTTAGTTCCAAAATGACAATTAGGTGTTATTAATTGAAGAGAAGAACTAGACATAAGAAAAAAAAAAACACATTGGTATTGCTTCTCAGGTTTAAACGCGTGCATTAACTGCATAACATACTTACTCTCGATTTAAATAAGAGATACATCCAGATATAGATATAACCTAAGCTTATTTTGGTCAAGAATAAAATAATGCCTAACAACTGATGATGATACACAGTAACAGTTTGGGAAATAGGGGAAATGCCTTGATGCAACCGTAAGTTCTGTGTTAAGAGTTTCTTCTAACGCAGTTTTCGCTTGTGAAACTCTCTATCCGGATTCTTACTTCCCAGTAGTCTTTGAGCTTAAAGAATTTAAATGTAATATCAATCTGATATGTCCCGGAAAGGGATATATTTGAACAAAGTAGCTAAGTGGTTTTGGCTACTATAATCAAGTGGAATACGGTAGCAGTAATCGACTGGTACGCGTCGTAGTCGCAAGTAAGAAGTGTACATCAATGGCGTAGTCCAATGGGCGTCGTTATAGACTAAGGCTCTGACGTACCTACACGTCCGTCGATATTTATGACGGACACCAGCCAATCATATTCCAGTGAGGGGGATCACAGGTGTATGCATATTCCATTATATCACAATCATTATCTTTCGTCTTCTTAAATTTCTGTTGTTTTATTTTTCTCTCTCCTTAAGAGTGTTTTGTTTTTCTCATATCCTCTAACACGACTTGCGTTTTTGTGCCTTGCTTAGAGGGAAATTTGAAAAGAAATCCAGTAATATTCGAGGCAAAATGTTAAACGCGTCCTCTAAGTACAATAATAATGGCTAGGTCTACTGCTAGGAATGTTGGCTCACTTTCTCGTGCCAGACAATTTGTCGCGTCAGAATTCTTGCACGTTTAAAAATCTGCCATTCGTCCGTGGATTGAATACTGCTTCTCGTATATCTGCCGAGATTCTTGACAAAATTGAAATAAGGGTCTTTAATGTAAAAGATCTAGACCTTGCAGTTCGACCGTCCTGGGTAAGACGATAAACTACGTCCACGTCCTGGGTAAGACGATAAACTACATCCGCGTCCTGGGTAAGACGATAAACTATATCTGCGTCCTGGGTATGACGATAAGCTACATCCGCGTTCTGGGAAAGACGATAAACTACGTCCAACAGCAAGGCCTCTGATCTAGAGATTTTGAGGAGCGTAAAACCACCTCTTAATTGCTGGTGTTCCCAGGTCCACCCTGACCCGGGGTGGTAGTACCTGTTAGGGTCTCAGCAATGGGCAAATAGTTAGCACCCAAACTTGTGTAAAAATAGTTTTTAATACCAGAATTACATTGTAATAAAAAATTATTACTAGCAATAATTTTAGAGGGAAAAATTATTATCAGCAATACTTAAAAAAAAACAAAAAACAAGAAAAAACAGTAATACAAAAAGCTATAAATTCTTTGAAGAATGGAACTCAGAATAAAAAATAATGCGAACAAAATATCAAGTCAGTAATTAAAAAAAAACTTTTACGAAAATAAAACCATCCAAGATTGTCAATTTCCTAAAAGAAGTTGAATTTTACTCAAAAATATGAATGATTGAAAAATGGTTCAAATATATATATGTATACATACACACCTTTTTTTTTTGTTTACCAAACTATCGCTATAAAAAAAAAAACTATGTTGGCATTAAATGACCCAGTGAGGTTTTGATATGCCATAAAACAAAACAACCAACCAACCTTGCATTTCGATTTTAGTTTCTTCTACGAATATTTTTATGGCAATTGTTTTTATCAGACTTCCTCGGCGCTGCATCGACTGCACGAATTTAAGTTTGCTTCTAGATTGGCAACAAGGTTTAACCGTTTTACTGAGGAACAAACTAGAATCACCAATATGTTCTATTTCTCGCCCGTGGATTCTTGTTTCCCTGTCGCCTAGAATCTTCAAAGATTTAAATCCAACAGCAGTCGCCATCACCTGTCTTCATGACACACCTTCTCTTATTGTCTGTTCTCCTCACTAAAGTTTTCTCACTCTCTTAATCTCCCAGTAAAACCTTGTGTCTTAGCGACATTATAGCCTTGCTTGGAGTGAAATGATTAAAATATTAAGCAAAATTCCTTAGTTTGGCATACACTTATTATAGAGCGATTCCTTCAGTTAAATTTTAAACAGGAATAACTGACTCTCTGTGATACGTCACCTAATGTAAATGATTATCAATGATTATCAAGTTTAACTTTCCAAAAGCTTAGCAAAATGTCAAGAAACAGAAAAAAATCGTTAGACACAAAGAATATAGTACTGAACTGTTATGTAATATCGATCCTCCTATATGGCAGTGAATTTTGGGAAATCTCCCCGCAGATGAAGACGAGACATGAATCAACAGAAATGTGGTTCCACAGAAGGATGCTGAGAATACCATGGACTGAACGTATGAGTAACATGGAAGATTTGCAGTGAATGGAAACCCAAAAGACACAGAATTACAATGAGACAATTTCTAGGGTACATAATGAGGTAAGAAGTCTTAGGGAATTTGATATTAAGGCAAGAGAGGCAGTGAAAAGCGGGCGACTAAGCTACCTATGTAGGCTACTTTAATATTTGGAATACCAATATTTACGAGAGATAGCAAAAAGGAAAAAAATTACTAAGTGTTGCAAAAGACATGAAGCTGTGGAGAGCCATGGACGCCCAAGTGAACAAGAGACAGGG